ATATTACTTAATCATTACCATATTAAAAGAAATAAATTTACCCTATTGAGATGGAGGATAAAATGATGTTACCGTCGTCAATCTCTATCAAAATAGTTTCATCAGTTCCAATAATCCAATATTACTGTAATATAATAATGCATGAAATACAGTCATACAGTAATGTAGCAATGAAATAATACGATTTTTTTTCTGCGATGACAGTTAATGACTGAAAAATATCATATGGAATTGATTATATATCGAAATATTAATCAAAAATTGAAAGATTGTGCATTTAATCAAACAAATATTTAAGAAACGAAATCAGCTCCGAATGTTATTTTCCGGGAAAGAAAAAAACTGCAGTAGTACAATTGATAAAGATCGCATCAGATATCAAAACCAATTATGATAAAATAAATTTTGCAATGATAAATCAACTAATTTCGTTGTAAAAAATTTTGTTTTTTACATATAGAAATTTCAAAATAAGTTTGATTTACCTTTGCAAATTTTTAGCTTGCTCGAATGGTCAATGTGGAGAAGGACTGATTTGCGTAAATCGCACGTGTTTAAATATTAGTGCACCAACAACTTCTGCGACTACAGCTACAAGTAACCAATTTATTTCATTATGAAAACTATTGCTTATTTTATCTGAATAATACTTTTGTCAAAATTAAATTAAAACAGAAATTCAGTTATTGAGTGCTAATATAATTAAAACACTTGGAAATCTTTGTACAGCTTAAAATAACTGATAGCTTTAATCATTGATTCTCTATTATATGCCAAATTTGTATAATTTTTTTTCGCTTTTTAACTTCTTCTTAATCTATGATTTTTTTTATCAGCTTCATTCTTGATTTTTAAATGTTTTATTATTAAATTTATACCATCATAAACTTTAATTTTGTCATCTGAAATAATCGAAAATGCATATTGATGGTGAATCATATTAGATGCATTTTGAAATAAATAGATTAAAAAAATTTAAACTTTGATATTCACTTAATTAACTTACTTTTAATTAAATAAGAATAACAAGACTTTAGCAACAGCAGCAACAGCAACAACAACAGCAACAACAACAACAACAACAACAGTAACAACAACGACACAAAAATGTGTGGATCGTAGTACACCCGGTCGAGCAAGTGATTGTCCAGCAGTAAAACATTTATGCAACAATGCTATATATTTCCAATTAATGACAGAGCAATGTCCATTTACATGTGATCGCTGTCCAGGCACCAGTCCAAGATCAAACCCAGGTATTCTAAAGTTGCCAGAATCTAATATGTGTAAATTAATTTTCGAAGATAAAGTGAAACATTTGTTGCTAACAAATATAAAATAATTTTTATTAGAACTATAGTAAGTATTTTTGATGCGATAGTTTAGAACTAATAAAATTAAAGAAAATCTTTAAGAAAAAGTAATGAATGTTAAGCAAAAAAAAAACTATTGAATTAGATGAAATAATCAATAAAGTACAATATTGGATAATAAACAAATTGAATAGAAGAATTAAAATAAATGCTTATTTTTTTTAAAAAAAAGGCCAAATGTTAAGTGAAAAATATTTATTAATGCTACTCAAAAAATGCTACTAATATCTACTAATATCCTGTTATAATTATATTTATTTGTCAGTTAATTTATTATTTGCTAAGAGTTAAATTGATTAAAAAAATGTTTATTGATTTGATTGATAACAATTTCCAGCTTGTTCTGATCGAGTTGGAGCAGGTGGTACATCAAATTGTGCATCCGTTTCATTTTTATGCCAAAATTTTTTATACCGTCAGCTTATGAGAGAGCAATGTCCAAAAACCTGTGGATATTGTAAATGATTACAACGGGATCAAATAACAAATATTATTGGACTGTTTGAAACTTAGCAGAATATTCGAAGGGAAGTAATACTAAATTAATTTTATGATAAAATAAAATTATTATACTGCATATGTTGTATTCTGTTATACTGTAAATAATGAGCAAAATGAAAAATTCGTATTATACAAATTGATTTGAAATTCTTCGATAAATACAAGAATAGACATAAAGATAACAAATTAAGATAAAAATAAATTTAAAGATTTGAAATTAATACAAAAAATAGATCCGAATGTACTAAATTATGATAGTTCCGAAACTTTTAAAAAGAAACATAGATAAGTCTAAATATTCCAAACCAAAATGTAAATAGTTTTGAGGGATTTAATTAAGACGAAAATGGATCCGAAGATTTTAAATTGAGGTCGAGATGGATTAAAAGATCTTAAATTGATGTTTGGCTAATAAGTGCAAACA